TTATACCACATACATACATATACATACATATATATATATATATATATATATATATATATATATATATACTGTATATATATACTGTATATACATGTACATTCACACTTATTAGACTTGATGACAGAATGAGGAATTTAATCGTAATCAGCCATTGGGTGAGATGATTTTATCTTGACAAAATGGCGCTGAACCACCTTGTTAAACACAACAGGGACTAGACAAGATGATTTACTATATACTGACGTTCCTGCGTTCAGACGATACAAAGGTCAAGAAAATGTAACCGGTTTATTGCTGGGACTTTGGTCCTTCATTTACACAGCGGAAGTGACAGATTTCTTATTGTTCAGATCTAAAACGTTGAGCTGGAAGTCAAACACCATGTTCAGGTAAGAAAACTGATTGTTAACCTGTGTTTAATGCTCAACAGTGTATAGACTGCAAGGTTTGTTTCTTTGACTTTAGGTATAATGTTTTTTACACGAGGACTTGAAATCTTGGCATTAATTCTGAGTCTCTTCACTTTTAGGTTTTCTCTAATCGTCTGTGTTTCTCTAATATATGGCATCTCGGCGAAGCCATATAAACCCTGGGTATGTATATATTGCTCCTGGCTCTCCGCATTATTCGACTCTACAGCCTCAGATCATATCATACATTATTTAAACATGCTTGTATGGTCCATGTCTTGTATTTGGACAGCAGTCATGTAACGTTTGTGCTCTTTTCTCAGGATAAACATACAGATGAAGCATTCCAGGATACCGTTATGTAAGTTGTAATTTCCTTCAACTGAAATGAAAGAAAATAATCCCTAGGACTGAGGAAATGCAGGCTGAGATCGTATGAATTTTATTTCAGGTCCATAAATGACAAAGGAGAGATGTCCTGGGGAGTGGAAATGGAGCCTCCAGAGGACATGGATAAGACTGACTATGACATCGACCCTGCCATGGGGATTTGGAAGATTGTAACGGGCAGCGAACCGGGCAAACAGCCTCTGAATGCCGAAGAAGACTTGGACAGGATGTTCCACCCATCACTGACCGATTTCCTCAAACTTCACCTCAAAATGACGGGCGCCCTCCCTGATGCCGACATCCAGGCAGTGCTTGCTGCCAACATGGAGCACAAACAGGAACCAGAGGAGGATAAAGATGACAACATCCACCCTGTTTTCAGCGAGGCGAACTTCGAAGAACCAGAGCAGGACTGGGATGACGTCTACCACAAAGCGATGGAGCAGCTGGGTGGATATCTGGCCCCACTCAAGGCTGAGTACAAAGCTGGTGACGAGGTCCGTGTTGCGCTTTCTGAACCAAAGATGGATGAGGACGAGCTTTATCATCGCGACCACGAGCGTTCGCCTGTGCAGGTGGAGCCGCTGACACATGAGGTCGTGGGCGAGAGTGAGGTCAAAGTTCACCTTCAACCAGAGGCAGACATGGACGACCTGTACCACATGGATGTCCCACAGCTCATCCCATACCAAGGTGATACTGAAGCTGCAGCTGATGTGCTGCCTCAGAGGAAGCACACCGAACCAGAGGAAGATCTGGATGATTTCTACCACCAGTGATCCTTCAGCAACAACCTGTGTTGATCCTTGTTGTTTCAAATCTAATTAATATACTGTAGCTGCGACAGGTGATTAAATCATAAATATCATTTGAGTCCATTAAACTCAGTAAGAATGAACAATAATGTACATGTATGTATCTTGATAATAAAGATATTTTAACACACTTATCAACGACTTCATGTTTTATTTATTGAAATGTATGCACAACACAGAAGTACAAAATAATTTCTGCTCCATGTAAACTGGAGATTAAATCAGATCATATTTACAGTTAATTACACACATGAACAAGAATAAATTATGTTTTGAATTTACAGCTTCTGGTGGAAAATGAACAAAACTGAAAATTAATTTCATGCAAAGTATTTAACATTTCTTGATTCTCTTTAGAAATAATTACAGTTGTGACATTATAGCATTATTATTATTATTACTTTCAAAATGTGTGTGTGTGTGTGTGTATGTGTGTGTCACTGCAGCAGCTCAGCAGGAATGACGCCCTTCTTCAGTATCAGGTTACCATACAGAGCTGTTTCCCTGTATAGACAAGAGGAGCAGAGAAATATAAGAAAGGAAAATATTTACATCCATCAACTGCATTTTAAAGGCACGTTTGAAATAATGAGACTTTTGTGGAGATTTAATAGCATCCAGAGCTCCGATCTGCCGCCCACATCTCATATTTGTTCAGAAATTAATATAGTGAAGGAAGTGAAAAGAAATGGCAATTGAGTCCGATTATCGGCTACTGAAACAGAGTTATCGCAGAGAACAGGTACCCATTTTATGACTTAAGAAGGTCTGCTGACTTCTGTAAAAGACAAAAGAGTTGAATGGAATCTAGAGAGGTTTCTTTAGTAGTTATTGTATTTTACAAAGTGACACATGCCTTTTATTCAGCTATGAGATTCAAATGAAGACAGAGAAAATACACACCCTGTTGCCACAACAGCGTACGCTTTCTTGGCTCGTTCATAGAAAGCAAACCGTTCCACTTTCTGAAGAGGAGCCTGTATGTAAACAGAAATAAACACACAAAGAGTCAAAAATCAAAGGATCTACACCACTACTTTATTCTTGAAATCACTGGGTGAGCAGGCTGTTTTACCGGAGACCCAGCCTGACCCAGGAGCTGTGTGTAAGTGTCCCACACAGGGACGGCTAGACACCTCAGTTTGTCGCTGTCTACCAGATCCATCACTGCAGCCTGTGGAGACATATTAGCACAGGGGCAACAAATTAAATTTAAAAAGATAAGAAAAGTAGCGTGCAGGAATATGCACTCATGAGTGCCACAGACAAGACATCCCTCAGTGGTTTAAGCTTTAGATTCATGGGTCCTGTACCGGATTGGGGACGTAGGTATCCAGGGGCAACAGCTTCAAAACGGCCTCCAAAAGCTGTGGGATTCCCAAACCTACATGAAGATCAGACACAGGTGGAACAATTGATTACACACACACACACACACTATTGACAGATGGATGCATTCACATACCATCAGCTCTTATCTCTGTTGGACCACAAGTACAGATGGAAGACGCTGGAAAATTTGCATCAGCAAGAACTGAAAAAAAGAAAGAGTCAGTGAGTGAATTAATTGTCGTGGCCTTGGAGCCACAGGTTAAAGACCCCGTCCTGCTCTTTCACTCTTGACACTGGTTTGTTTACATGAACTTAGCCTACTTTACTTACTCCACTTTACAGGCTATCACTGCTACGACAAAGGCGACCTGTGTGTGTATGTTGTTAAATAACATAAACATACCCAGTTCATCCCCATGGCCCATTTTAGCGAGGGCATACAGCAGTTCAGGTGATAAAACAGAGGGGATCCCTTTCAGTGCGACCATACTGGCAGCTACACAGCCAGAGAGGGCTGGAGAGAGTAGTGAGGCGACGCGAGAGCAGTCACTGCAGCGTACTTCCGGGTTCGTTTGTATCGATAAAGTCTTATAACAAATAAAAACAAAAGCAGTTTAGCCCGTAGCGAGTCTCACATGTGTATTACGATGATATCTCCTGTTACTAAAGCCAAGTGTCACACTGCTTTACGTTTTCGGTCTGTCGGACGAAGGTATTTGTAGGTTGTTAACTATCTTGACTTCATCTTTTTGTTGTAGACGCGTCATGTGATCAGAGACTCTAATCTGATTGGGTTAGAGGGGCTGGCACTTCGGGTCACTGTCACAAACTTAAAATTCAAATATTATAGTTTATTGTTTGTCTGAAAGCCCAGTGTGTACATACATTGAATTATATTTTCTGTTTCAGTTTTGTTTATAACATGTAAATTACATTGTAAGGTTGGCCTATAGTGAAAAAGTGATAAATGACTTAATTCATATGGAATAAGATTAATCTATTTAGGTTTTGCGTTTGATTAATATTTCCAAAAAAAAGGTGCAGTCACTTTTGCAAACAATAAGCAAAAGTTAGTCTATCTAATGAGTTTGTAAGAGCCTATATGAGGCCATAAAATTGGGTGGTGTCATTAGTCCGACATACTGCATAGTCGGTTAATCTTCGGTAGATGTTGTTTCTGACACCCTTGGGTGGGCATAATTCAAAGCAGACACCGGGTGAATGTGTTATTCCGACACGGTCTCTGGTGCCAAGAATGTGAGATAATGAAAATATTTGTCAGATGAAAACCACTCCACCCCGGCCTGTTTCATCTGAGCCAGAAAAACTCTCAGCTGGATGGCAGAAAAATGCTGAGGAATCCTTTCCATGACCGCAGATCCCGGTTCTGTAAAAAAAAAAATCTGAGATCTGCATATAAAAAGGCTTTTTTTTAAATATAAAAGTCAAGTCACAGTTCAGTGTTGCAGGCCTATATACTGAATTTACAATCCTCTTACAGCTGCTGTTAATAACGAACGGGAGACATTTGTTGCTGTATTGCGAGTTTTTAATGTGCAAATATTTGCTTTAGTTTGTTCATAATATTTCTAACTTACAGACCTACGATGTATTGTGGAGTTGGGATGTTCTGTGTGTCATATGCCACTCTAAAAATATTGTGTTTTCTGCTAACGGTGAATCACTTTACACAAATCCTTTGCTATAGAAAACTATTTATTATTAACTTTATGTGTAGCTGCAGGATTCATGTTTATGTAGCTTATTTTTTCAGTTTACTTTTATTTTGAGTGATGCAAATGAATTGACAGCCATGCATGCAAACGAATCCATGAAAATATTAAAATAAACTGAATGTAAAAACACAGATAAAGTCACCAGCTTTAGGAGAGAGTGATTTTTTTGGAGAGGGCTGGGAGGCTGCTGAGCAGGAGAAAGGGCCCTTGCAGGAGCCAGGCCTGTCTGCCGGACTGAAAGCCCCTTTCTCCCTCTGTGGACCCATGCTGCTCTCTCTTTATATCGGCTTCTTTAAATGAGTTTATCACGCTATGAGGGTCTGCGCTGCCAAAATGTAACGTTTTGCCCCCTTTGTCCGTGTGGAGAGCCGCAATTGAGTCTACATTTATTATTTTGACCTTTCGGTAGCCTCAAAGAGGAGCTTCTTTTCGGGCCCTCTCTGCAGACTTTTTGTGCTTCCCTGCGGAGTGAGGAGACGAGTTTTTTTTTTTCTTCCCTTTTTAAAAAAAGTTTTGTTCCAGGGGGCTGACAAGAAAGCAAGCTCCAGGGGAATATTGAATGAAAATAAAAATCAATTAGGCCATGGCCTTGTGAAGATATGGGGCGCTGCCGTGTGAAGATCAGAGAGAAAAAAGGTGCCTCAAGATGATTGGAGCTGCAAGAGAAAGAGCACACTAACCAAATTTGTTCTGGTGTTTTCTTTGAAGTCAAAATTATGGTTTTTGCTGTGTTCCCGAATATTTTTAGGCAGTATAGGTGATGAGCAAGACTTAAAAGATCATTATTTTTTTAATCTATTTTCAATAAAACAAAGTAGTTTTTCTTTGAAGGGCCTGCAGTAATTACTACTGAGATTATATTTGAATTAACTCTAAATCATTGCATCGGTATAGTGTTAAATCCTACAGACAAAATCAGCTTCACTGACAATTTGTGAAAATGCTATCGGCTATAAAACCTTTAAATCGAAGCCTTTGATTATTTAATGATACATAAATCTGTGCTGCAATAAAATTTGGGCCTATTAATTATATTTAAATAAAGAAATCACAGTTTGTTTAGTTGACTGATGAGAACAATTACAAAACATAATGCTGACAACTAATTTGTTTCTCTACCACCAGTGTCTGATGATTTATTCCTACAGTATTTTAATGACTTGACTTTTATAACTGTCACTTTGCACTCAGTTGCACCAAATTAAGCGCCTATCTGCATACGACCCGGTATGCAACCGGCCCGTTCATTTCATTGTCCGGGTCCAGTTTCTGCTTTGTGTAACAGCACTAGAGCCCCACCTGGTGGTCTGAAGAGCACACTGGTGTGATGATATATCAAAGAGAAACACAATGTCTCTAACAGTGTTAATAAATTATATGTATATGATACTCTGTTGCACACTGTTGAAGATGGTGGTATCATGTTACTGTTACATATCATTCATTATATCATTATGTCACGCTGCTCAGATAGTAGTGCACTAGTTGTATGTGTACTACTATTGCCTGTCATTTTACATTTTGTGGCTATTTGCTCTCATACAATTTCAATTTTTTATTTTTTTCTTATTTTATACACATTTAATTACTTATTCTATTTAAGTTTCTCTACTTATTTTGTCCTTGTGCAGCTGTAAAATATGAATTTCCCCTCGGTAGGATCAATAAAAGGATCATCTTATCTTAAATTCAGACACATTTTCCCATTTCTGTTCATGTCTCAGTTACAGCACTGAAAACCACTCTAGAGCTTTATTTGTAAAATGTACACAGAAACAAGTTGCCTACGAAATGCAGACAAACTTTTGAGAGTGAAAATGAAAAGGCAAAGTCAGTAAGAGTCATCAAGATAGATTCCTCCTGTTAATCACTGATTATAACACAGTTAGTTCACATACAAACCCCCTGCACTCTTTCACCCAGACTGCATTTGATTTTGATACTGAGCCTCCACTGGCAGCGGGGCTTCACTGTGATAAGACACTCTTGTGCACTCACTCTGTGCCAAATCTTAATTCAAACAGCGTATGTTCCACTACCATCAGGATTTCTGTATCATTTAACTTATTGCAGATAAGGAAATGACCCGCTGATATCAGGAACTTTGGCAGCGCTCAGACTGCAGGCCAAAGTGACACAAATCTGATTTTGTTTTGCTCATATGTGACTTATGACAGTTTGAACAGCACGAATCACAAATCAATCTGATCTTTTCAATTCTGATTTGGGCCACTTTCTTATGTAGTTATGTTGCAATGTGACCTCAGTGTGAACAACCATATCAACATTTACGTGACTTATGTCCCTCTAGATCTACGTTTGTCATGTGGGTCACTTCAGGACTGTGACCTGTTCACACTGGAATTATTAATTAGATATGAGCCACATTAAAAACATAATGTGAACAGCCAAACAAAAATCACATCTGAGCAATAAATCAAAATTGAGTATGAAGGCTTTCAGTGTGAACGCAGCCTTTGTGTCCTTGGCTGAGCTCTTGATCTGCTCTTTTCTAATTGTCCTGGAAACTGGCCTTTCTCTTCTCCACAAATGCCGTCATGCCTTCTTTGCGATCATCCTGCACGGAAAAACAAAGACAAACGTCATAATTGGAAAGTCAAAGTCAGAGTCAACCCCTCTCACTATCCTCAGATGGGCTCTTCTACTCACAGTAGCAAAGGTAGCGTGGAATAAACGCTTTTCCAAACGATTACCCTCAGCCAAAGTCAGTTCATAGGCTGCAATCACACAGAAGAGCACGTCAGACAACATTAAAACTTATTCAATTAGTATGTTTTAAGATACTTAACTTTTTTTTATTAGTTTACACACCTGCGTTAACAGCCTCTTTAGCCATCGCAGAGACTAGTTTGGAGTTGGAAGCAATTTTCTCCCCACATTTAACAGCTTCAGACACCAGCTGGTCCACAGGATAGATTTTACTTACCAAACCTGGAAAACACAGAAAGCTACTGAATCAAGTGTCATACATTTAACCTATGACTTGTTTATTAAGTACTCTGGTGCAATCTCATCTTTAGTCAAATGCTGTAAAATGTTTAGCATGTTACCCAGCCGTTTATTCAGATCATTTACTTAAGTAAAAGTACCAATACAGAAGTACAGTAGTATTATCAGAAATATTTACTTAAAATCCTGTATCTAAATTAAAAAGTACTCATTGTAGAGAAAAAATTTACCATGACTTGTATATTATTATATTGTTATTGATGTCTCTGTGTGTAAGGAGCATGTTATGCTAATTTTGTCTAATGGCTCTCAACATAGGGGTCGGGCCCCCTCCAGTGAGTCACAAGATAAACCTCAGGGATCATGAGATGATGACCCACAAACACACAGCTAAGAGGTCACAAAGCCAAACAAGTTTATTTTTAACGTTTTGTATTTTATAATCTTACATTGCTTTACGTAAAAATTTGAATCTGCAAAGTAACTAATTAGATTAGACCTGTTGATGTCGTGGAGTATAAAAAGTACAATATTTTAAAGAAGCATAAAATGGAAATACTCAAAGTGCCTGAAAATTGTACTTAAGGGACCAGTGTGTAGGATTTAGTGGCATCTAGCGGTGTAGTTGCAGTTTAAAAACACCCTCGCCTCACCCTCCCATTATAAGTGTGCCGGAGAAACTATGGTGGCCACGAAACTCACGGCAAACTTGAAAAGCCCCGTCTACAGCCAGTTTGGTTTCTCCCTTCTGGGCTACTTACTACTACTAGAAACATGGCGGTTCAACATGTTAGAGGACCCGCTCGCTCTTGGATTAAAATTCCTCATTCTAAGA